ACGACTACTACCACGACGACGACGACAAGGACGACTACTACTACTGCTACTACTACTAATTGCTGCTGCTGCTGCTGCTGCCAGCACCAGTGAGGGGTCACCAGATATGCGGGCTTTCTCCTCAGCCAGGAGGCTCCAATCGCTGCAGTGAAAGCTGCCGACGGCTTGCTCGGTGAAGCGCATCAAGCCGAGCCATGGATGCTTCCGTGTTGTTGTGCGCGGCTTAAGCCGACCTGAAGTACCAGCAAACCAAGGAGAGCCTGGACGACTTGGCAAATCTCTTGCTCAGGCTCGGCTTGTGCGCTCAGTGGATTGCTCTTTAAGCTGCAGCTGTTCTGCAGCAAAAAGTTAGCAGAGTGCGAAGGTCTCATGTGCCCAGGGAGTGCATGGGCATTGTTCTGTTGGGCCACTCCTGGGGCGCATCGACGCTTGGACCGCATCAGCTCAGCCATCAAGTAGAGGCGCACACTTGATCTTTCAGGCTGGCGCTGGCACTCGCACGTTCCTGCCTTGCTGCCGGGAAAGCTGTGAAGGTCGGGGCTTGCAAGAAAGTTGACAGGGTGCCCTTGCGCATCAGAAGCCAGGCTGTTTGGCTGTTGGATCCTTCCTGCCATCACCTGGCACCCTCAAAGCCAGCCGAGCAAGCGGAGGAGGCAGTGCATTGCTTGGATGCCTGTGCCGTCAGATTCGACTGGCATTATCCAGGAGGCTGTGTCCGACTTTCTGGAGATGATGATGCGAGTGGCCTCGCAGGCCACATCAGGCTCTTGGGCAGCTGCAAAGCAGGTGCTGCAGGACGGGCGCAAGGCTGGTGACATGTTTCGAGTTGGTTTCGATTTGTTTTGCCAGGGTGCGCATCGCTCTGCCCGCTCTGGGGTCCTGAGCCAGGTGGAGCAGGCCATGCCACCAGGAGATCAGAAGTTCCAAACGAGACCAGGGCTACCCAAACCTTCTCAGGCATTGGGCGAAAGCTGGCCGCACATACGGCGCTCTGCCATGCGCAGGCGGGGTGCGCAATCTCAGGGCTTTGAACTTCGAGTCTGTGTTGTAGAGCTTTTGTTCCTGACAGGTGTCGCAATCTGAACTTGCGGTCACTTTCCTTGGGCGAGCTGCCCGTGCCGATCCACGTGTTGTTGGCAAGGCGAGAAGAGGAGAGTCAGGAAGACGGGGTTCGGCGATCCCGAGATGCTTGGTAAGCTTACCTGTCACACTTCAGGGGTGACGGTTTGACAGTCTCGCAATATCAACGGGGTCCAGAGATGTGAGGGCACGGTTACCGTTGGTGACAATGACGACAATGACGACAATGACGATGCGGATGATGTAGATGCTGTTGTTTTGCAGAAGGGGAACTAGCGGATTTAGGATACTCCACTGCAAATTCTCTTGTAGCCATTTCGTTGAATGATCTACTCATAAAATATCCAAGGCACCTGAAAGTACACATGCATGATCATAGGGCGTGCAAAGGAAGTGGAGCGGCTGCTGGCACAGCTGTCTGCAAGCATTTCCGTGAAATGGGCTGCCGGCGACCACTACTCAATGCTGGAGAATCTTGACTGCAAGTTTAGCCAGGCTTTTTTTGCTATGGTCCAACTAGCACGAGAACAAGGCCAGGAAACTGCGCCACTCTGGTAGCTGCCATTCTGAGCTCCATGGCGCGCGTTGCGGATGATACCTGATGGCGAAGCTGATACATGTACGAAAGGCGCTGCTGCGACTCTTGTCGAGTTTTCTGGACAGTGCGATGCAAATCTCTCGAAGCCATGAAGCGGCCGTTGTGATGGTGGCCATCGCATCCTACAATCTGGAGTAGCGATACGACATGATACGACGCTGCCGCGCGAGATCCTGCTTTCCTGATCTCGGAGACCTGGTAGCTATGCGTAGCCATTCGCTGCCACGTTGCCTGGCTTTGCACATGGTGTTGGAAGTTTGGTACCACCTTGCAGGTGTTGGCATGCTGCGCTTACAGTCTGGATGTTTTGCATTGCTGCTGGACCTGCACAAGACGGAAGATTGCCCTGCTGCTAATGCAGCCGGAAGCCACGCGAATGGACCAGGAGGACAGCGGCAATCTCCAGATGTGCATCATGTTGTTCGACTGCGCCGGCCTCTGGAAAGGCGGCTGCACGCCCTCCCGTAGAGGAGAGGCCACAACTTTGTACATCCCGAGCCTGTGCATTGTTTCACCCTGACAAGATCCCGTTGGGCTCTCGCTTCAATCAGTGTGTGGGGAATGATTGCGCATGCAGGCCTCAGGTTGCACCCCTCACATGACTTTTAGCTTTGAAGCTCCACAGAAACCTGCGGGATTATCCCAGAAGAGTGGCTATCCGCAGAACAGGCTCAGTGTGAAGTGACAGTAGGTATCAGAAAGCTCCATACAGGTTTCCTGAAGCTGGATCCTAGTAAGCTCTGCACCTGATGTCAGGATTTAGAGCACCATTCTCTACTGCGTAGGTAGCATGCGTTCGTCAGAATGCGGCTTCCGGACTCGCTGCTTTGGTAGACATGGAAGCCGGTATCACTCGTCAGCAGAGGCCTTATTGAAAGTTATCAGCAAGGACATGCTCCTTTGCGCAGCTGCGATATTCAAGCATGCTCATATTCTCATCCGGTTCTGTGTACAAAATATCCTAAACTTCGGTACCTTCGGTGCTATCTCCGGGCCTGTAGTGAGGAATCTACATCCCAGACTTGGCTTCCAGCGCCTGCTTTGCTTAATCGCTGCTCTGCAAAGCTTCAAAATTGAGGTGGGGTGTTGACTTCGACCAGTGCCTCAAGACCTTCATTTGGGAACTCTTCGGCGCAACAAGCGAGGAGGGGCTTGATGGATTAGGGTGTAGGAAAAAGTCATGCCAAATCATCCAAGGTTGTGTGCATCAAGGCCTCGAGCTCCGTGACACTTGACGTAGCGGCTTTCAAAGTGCTCTTGCGCAACAATTCAGCCTGCGTGTTGCACCACGCAGGAAGATGAAGCAAGATCATGCTAGTCCATGGTTGATTTGACATTGGTGCGCAGGAAGAGGCTACAGTGAGGGAGGCCGAGTTGAAGGCATCCCAGCCACGTGCAGGTGTTTGCCCCGTCCAGTGGGGTGAGCAGGAGCATCCAGAAGTGACTGTCGTGGAGTTTACTTTGTTGTTTAGAGAAGTCTCAGGACCTTGCTTTTCGATGCCTGGACTGCGCTGCTTGGCGTCAACCGAGTATGCGAAGCATTTATTTCATTGCTGCCTTCTGACCCCTATTTGTCAGCTTGAAGCTGATCTTGCTTGACAACGAATGGGAACGAAGCATGCCTGTAGCTTTCGTACAGCTTGTCGTGCCCAGGAACTCGACAGCAATTGCATTCAATGCTGCGACTGCTTCTTCAAGGTCACAGCGGAATCTCCGGTCACAATGTGTCTCTGCTCCTCAAGGCATCAAGTCATCTGCCAGGCTCAGCATGAAGGGCACGCGGTGGCGATGATCCGCACAGCTGGCGGCAGCTGCGACTGTCAGGAACCCGGGCTATCCTCATTCACCACAGGGCATTATTGCAAGCTGGCACCGTGTCGATTGCAGGTGGTGACCCTTCATCCTGGAACCCTGCAGGGTTTTGCCCAGAGCACTGTGAGACCCCACAGAGGCAAACGCAGATTTTCATTTTGAAGCTGGTCATGTAAAAAGGTCAATGTCGTAGTGGTAGTGTAAAGGGTCCTTGCCCAGTCAAACACAGTGGCTTTATGCTACACAGAGTGTGAATCCGGCTTGACTCAGCAAGATGGTTCTTGCCGCAGGCTCGACAACGAGGAGTCGCTGGACCTGTTACCTGCCCCTCTTCGGACCCGCGCTCAGGCGCTGGGGAGCTGATTGAGCTAATTTTTAAAAGCTGCAAAATCGCGTACGGGAGGCCATGGTGCCAGAGCTGATGTCGCAGGCACGATGTACGATGAAGAGATTTGGAGTGTAGAAAGCGGCGGCCAGCCATCATCAACACCTTTCAACCTGGTGCTGTGTGGTTTGGTTTCTGACATGAGGAATCACGAGGCATATACAGGTCCAGCCTTGGTGAAGTGCGTCTGGATTCGTTCAAATAGGTTTTGTTGACGCAAGAGTTTGCTCCATACGCTGGAAGGCCTCTTGTGCGGGGTTTGCTGACGGGAAGTGTGAAGGCTAGGAGGGTCTTCACATGTTTGACTCCGTGCAGAGGCTGACCAAAGGCTGAAGCCGCGACCTGGGTGGCTTCGGGGTGAGGTGCGGGCCAGATACTCCTCAGCCCGAGTATTCGGCCTGAAGTAGAGGAATGCAACTCGCAGCAGTATGGGTGAGGATGCCGCTGGCCGGCAGAGTCGTGAGCAGCAGGCAGGCCAAACCGACATGTTCCGTAGCACCATACAAAGCAAACAGCACAGCGGCATCCTGCTTTTCCAAAAAAAAAATAGAGGGAACCCCCTGTGAGAGGCTGCGCAGCTCTTCGGTACCCTGCGACGGCTGGGCGAGGCGAGCCCGCGCAAGTTTCTTTGGAGGACAACTTCGCCATTTTCATTCTTACAACTTGTATCTTCCAGGCTGCCTTCGGTCTCCGCTACCTTGTAGTGCAGGAGCTTCGAGGTGCCAACGCTCTTGACTGCCAGCGCTGTAGTATGGTACCGACTCCTTGGAGAGGTGAACGCCTGACAAACTGGATGAAGGCGGCTGTAAACGATGCTGTGTATACAGAGGCCCATCCTGCGTCCGGTTTCAGGTAGCAGGGTCAGGTTTCCTTGATGTGAATCTGAAATGGGAGACTCGAACGTGTAAGGTAGTAGCATATCACATAGCCTGTCTGCTCAATTCTTTTTCATTTTGCACACAAGGATTTGGAGCGATTCTTCCTGCTCTACGTGCAGGCAGGCACAGGCTTGCAATTCACGTTTGGTTATCACCTACGTGGCTTACGTATGCTGCGCATCAAACGCAATGTGGCATATGAGAAGCCTGCGACAGGTCTCTCCGTCCTTCAAAAGAGCCTTCGCAAAGAGCTTCATACGGCAGTATGAGCAGATTCTGCAGGCTGGTGGTAGCAACCTACAGTTGGCAACTGAGGGCAGGGTCTTGCTGCAGTACCTCTGTCTGTACTTCTGGAGGACACTCCGATCCTGGACTCCTTAGGTGTTCAGTTCTTCACTATCCCGGAGGCTCTCGTGTCCAGGGGTGGCGTACGCAGCGCAGCAGCTGTGACCTGTTCAGGTTGCCATGGAACTGGCGGTGAAAGAGGCCTTCGCGCTGTAGGGAGCCCGCCAAGTCGACCGCCAGTCAGCAGATTGATGTTTATCGTTTGAAATCCGTCGTATCCTTCCTGCTGGTGGTAGTGGTGGTGGTGGNNGTGGCGGTGGTGGCGGTGGTGGTGGAGGTGGTGGTGGCGGTGGTGCTGCTGCTGCTAGGCGATGGACACGAATTTTGTTGGAAGCCTTTCTTAAACGGTCCAGATTTGCGAGAGAGCGGGGCTACTGCATCAGTGCCATCCTTTTTAAACATCTCAAGGCTCGATGCCGCATCTAGATTGACAAGATCGCTTAGACAAATATTCTTTTCTCCATGTTGGAGGATGCGTTTGGAGCTCTGCTGGCCGCAGCAGACAGGTGCTCCACGAAGCCTGCAGTCATCTTCATCTCAGCCACTGGATGTTCAATGTTGATCCAGGTTCCTCAGTCTCCTGGTGCTTGAGGAAGATACGTGCATCATCTTCAAGGATCCGGATCAACTGCATCCCGTCTGTTCAAAGAAAGTTGTGAATGTTCCGCAGCCGGCGCGGGTTGCAAGACATGCTCGATATTGCTAGAGGCTAGTGACATGGGAGAAGCTGGCGCGGGTGTTCCATGCTGCTGGCTACCTCTGCTACCACAAGTCAGTTTGCGAGCAACTCGACAAGTTTAATTAATGTGCTATGTGTGCAGATGTGGAATCAGGCTGCAGTGCAGGGGCTTTCAACTGCCAATGTGCAAGATTTGCTCTGAAAGCTGAAGCAGAGATCACGTTATGACAGGCACATCCTGAAGGCGCCATCCGTCTTGGAATCGCTCGTCGAGGTTTGATGGCTAAAGTTGAGACCGGGGTTTTGCTTTTAGGGCAAGATGGCTGAGCAGAGCTTTTAATGGGGCATTTGGCATGACTGGCCGAGGTCCTGCAGCGCCTTTGGCGCATGTCACCGCAGGAGAGGGCTACAACGCAGCACGTCCTCTACGAGACGCGACGGCTCCAACAGCAGGTCTCACTTGTCGCGGCTGTGTTTATGCGCTTTTTTGGTGCATAAAGTTGGGAGCAGTGCCTGCCTCAAACTGTTGCAGCTGAAGTTCGGACCCAAAGTACATTGCATGACAGCGTGCCAGTGAGGCAGCACCGTATGCTTTACTCGGGCGTGGCCGCAGCCACGCCTCAGCGCAAAAAGAAGCGAGCTCGACAGGGCTTCCTAGCCTACAGCTGACATTTTCTTCCCTTGCGCCATGGCTGGCCATGGCTGAGCAAGAAGATGCAGAGGAGCCCTGCAAGGTGAATCTTGCCTTGGAAGTACGAAAACCGGGCTGCAGTCAGCGAGGAACTCCGGCTCGTTGGCCAGAACCTCACTTCTTTACCAGACTTGCGAGGCCCCATGCAGCTGTGCTCTGTGTCCAACCATCAGGGCAGGCTACGGAGGTAGTCTACGCACAGTGGCAAGTTCAGAAGCAGTTGGCTTTCCAAGCACGGTGCCTTCGTTGCCGTTGCACAGATCTGGTATTTTGTCGATCCCAATTCCTTGTCAGGTTTTGGCCACATCACCATCCTGGATGCTTCAGAGAATCGCCCCTTTGGCCCGCAGGATGGGGGTGAGGGGCTTCAAGTGCAAGTTGTGCGCATATAGAAAGTTCAAGCATTGAGGCCTTGTCTCTGTAGCTCGGATCAGCGCCCAGCTGCCCTGCCTGCGCCGCCTGCGCCTTGCGCGCAATCGCTTGCGGCGCGGAGGGCTTGGGCTTGCCTTGATGTTGTACAAAGTGTGGATACGTATTCATCGTAAAGAGACGTGGGCCCCATGCAAGGCCTCTTTTTCCTCGTATGTGCTGTGTAGAACCATGCTTACTCTGCTCGAGCTCACATTCGCTTTGGGCGCAGGGTCAGCCAAGACCAAGGTGTGGAACGCCTGGGCGACTTGCCAAGGCTTCAGCTACTGGACGTGGCAGAGAACTTGCTTGGGCCAACACCTGGCGCAGCATCTGGGACCGGCATGCTTGCGTAATGCGTGAGGCTTGGTTCCATTACCGAGATTGTACAACTACCCAGTACCAGGTCAGCAAGGGCTCTCAGGAACATACTCTACCATGATGCGGGGCTTGACTCCGGCTTTGTCAGCAGTAGTAGCCTTTCAAGTACGCTGCTCCGCAGTTTGCTGGGGTGAGGAAGCAATGGGCACATGCAATGGTCTAGCAGGATCGATGCTCGTGATGTACTCGTTCAGCTGGGCTGGTTTGTTTGTTCTGTGTCAGAGGGGACCAGCCTGGAAAATTGTTTGCTGCGAGGCACTCCACATGATTGGAAACTGCTCGGAACTGCGCGCCATTTTCGTGGCAGGCAACCCCTTCACGGAGGCCTCAGCCTCCCGGCAGTACAGGGTCACATGCCTGCTTTCTTGCCTTGTTCTGGATGGGAGGTCGGAGGATTTCGAGCTTACAACGCAGCCAAGGAAGATCTCCGTGCATACCGGTATCAACTCTTGGATTTGGTTCCCTCACTGCGATTCATCGATGGCGAGGCCGTCCAATTTCATTGGCTTCCAAGTTCCAAGAGCTTGTCCAAGACCCAGCAGTCCAGCACAGTGCGGCACAGGCTGTGGGCAAAGCCAGGCCCGGTGTAGAGCTCAACACGCTAAGCTCTACACCGTGTGTGTCTGAAGCCTTCGAGCTGAATAGCAAATACTACTATCCCACGGAAGCTTGGGTGCAAAAACTTCTCTTGACCTTGCTGCATGCGTAGCTCGTGCGTAGCTATATTGTGTTCATCATCGCCAGTCTCAGGAGTCTGTGATGCAATGGCTGCCTGGCTATCTTGATTCAGAAAGCTGCGGAGTGAAAGCACTGTGGTTCTGGCTAGGTCGCACCCATCGTGCTAGTATTCGCATTGTGCTGGAAAGTCTTGTCGACCCACGGCTGTCAGGAACACTTGAATACGTTGTGCCCCCTAAGGATGGTGAAGTGGCCAAGCTCTCCTCTCGCCGTGGCAGGTTCAAAGACCTCCTATGTGACGCCAGGCACAGCATTACGAGGTAACAGCTAGGGCTGCTAGGGCTATGACTATGATGCTCTGAGGATGCTTGGTGCGTTGCCAGTTACCAGGTGGAACTTCTGCTTATGCTGGCTTTGCAGACCGGAAGCGCCGGACGACAAGCAGCAGTCCCAGAAGCCAGCCTTGCTGTTGACCTTCCGGGCGTGTCCCCTGTATTCTTCAGTAACAGTGCCGTAGCACCTGTTGAATCCTGGTGACCTAGTGGTCCTTACGAAAGGTGCGAATCCTAGTCATGTGCGGGTCCTCCGTGTGCGAGGTCTGCCTCAAGCCGGGCGCCTTGCACGCAGTGCTTCTGAAGGTGCCCTGGCATCCAAGCGGCCAAAGGCCACGTGCGGGCCCCAGAAAAGGAAGAAAAGGAACGGACGGGCACATGCCAATCCATTGGAGGGAACGAGCCCAGGTCCCCAACGCTGCCCAGGAGCTTGGGCCGCAGTGCATCGGCCGCGGTGCTGCATGACAAGACATGGCCCAGGGCAGAAAAACGGATGTGATTTGCACGTGAATGTGAAGCATGAGTCCAAGAACACAGCTGGTTTGCTTCCCAAACTTCGGAAGTTCCCTGCGATTTCCTGCTAGGTTTTTTACCTGGAGTCAGAGATCCTTCGCCAGTTCTTCACTCTCTGCGATTTCTGTCGACGCCCCCATGCTGCTCTGGAGGACAGCATTCCAATCCGTGTTGCGGTGGTCTTTCTTCAGCCTCTTGCAGAGTGTGCTTGCCAGGAGCTCCAGCCACTCTATGCCTGGCTCGTTGCCTCCTTGCAAGACTCGAAGGGCTTCACCTGCAGAGCCCCCAGCTCCCCGACGGCTCCACCTTGATCCGAAGCGAAGATTTACATTTGGTCAGCCAAAGTGATACAGTTGAGTTCTGTGTCTCCTTGGTGCCCAGCTTCTTTCAACAACGACACTTCAGCATCGTTCCACCTGCCAGCGCTGAGGCACTGGGTGCACCTGTAAGCTGGGGAAACTAACTGGGTGTGACGCTGTTTTCATGAAAAGGAAGGAAAGTCTGTTGACTCATGACATCATGTTTGCTCATTACTCGCTGAAATGCCGTAATCCTGATCCGAAGCCACGGAGTGCCTTTGGAGGGATTCCTAGTGGCAGCACTGGACATGAGCCAAGTGTACACGCTGTCGCATAAGCCGTTGGTGGCTGACGTGCTGCACAGCTGCTTTGGGCAGGGCGACTTCAAAATAGTGGTAGAAGAAGTTTGTGAAGACGGCGAGGCAGCGGAAGATGGCTTGTGCACCAAGCGCACAGAGTTTCAGGTGTGGACTCCTCTGTTGCGAAGATGGTCCGACGTGTTTGCAAGTGTGATGGGTAACGATCAATTTCTGGAAGGGTCGCGGGGCGAGATGGTCATCAAGGACTTCTCGGCCCATGCAGTGGATGCCTTCCTTCGATTTCTGTACTCGGGAACGATTTCGGCGGATCTTCCCACGCTCGTGGAGGTAGCTGTCATTGCAGACAAGTACCAGGTTCAGCCCCTTTGTGCCACCTGCATGACCGCTGTGCGGCAAAAGCTTTTCTCCGAGACAGCCGCGGAGATTGCCTGCCAGACTTTTGCATGTGCTGACCGCTTCCACCTTGAGGAGTGCGGAAAAGCAGAATCCCCAAGTCAAATGTGTGAGCTCATGCAGTGGTTCTCTCAACGCGTGAGGACCTCCGCCGCCAGGCAAAGGAGCAGATCCTCATTGAGCCCCGGCTAGCCCTTGGCCAGCGCTCGTCGCTCAGTGTCTTGTTGGCACCTTCTTCAAAGGTTTCAGCTGAGGGCAGACTACAATTGTAAGAGGAATAGGAGATTGCTGGGTTCGCTGGCCAACGAACCCTGCTTAGGCGCCTCGCTCCTGGATGAGATCCTGAGCAGCGAGTTACTGTGCATGGAGGATGCTCAGCTTCTGGGGATGTTCCTTGACTGGGGCTCAGCCTCAGAAGAGTTTGAATCAGTGCTGCAGCTTATCGCAAAGCACGTGGACCTTCACAACATTCCGGATTTCGTCTTTGGACAGTCTTGCGTGCGTCTTTCACAGGGACGGAAGGTTGCGCTAGAACGATTGCGCGAGAAGCAGCCAAGGGAACAAAGGTGCACACGCAGCCAGCATTGCATCGATGTGCTGCAGGAGCTCTATTTGCAGCATCTTGAGATTGTCCCTGAGAGGGTTCCGTTCATAGGCTATTGGGTGAACGTTATCCCCGGAGACTTAGGCCAGGAGTGGCTAAACGGTGGTTTCGACCGACTGCTTGACGTGGCCAGGAATGGGAAATTTCTCAGCTTGGAGCAGGGCAGCATCACCTGGTTTCTGCCACATACTCCGTTTTACATGCTGGGCTTTAGCTTCGAGACATTTATGCCAAGAGGAGTGCACTTTGAGATATCGTGCTCATGCGACGGCAAAGATTGGCATGTTGCCATGGTCTCAGAAGGTGGTATACCTGCAGGACAGCTTACTCGGAGTCACTATCCTCAGTTGGTACAGTGGATCAAGTTACACGTCAAAGATGGTTTTTTCCACAATGATTTTCAGATTCACGGTATTGTGCCCAAGTCACAAGTGTGATAGCGGATGATGCGCACGGGGTCAGGATTCTGACAGATGGGCCATGACAACTGCAGTGCGTCAAGGCCTTCCTCCAAGGTGTTGGTCCACTTCAATTCGAGGTCCCCAACGAGCTGCTCAACTGGCATGCTGAGTTGGCGCATACGACGATGACGAAAGCCCCTCGTGTGACCCTCAAGAGCCCGATAATTTGGGCCAGCCTGCCTCAGCCTTCGCACCACTCGGCGCTTGCGACCTGGCATCCGCCAGCCAGAAAAAGTTGTGCATGGACAAGGTATCGCCCGCAGGCCCGCAGGGCGGTCCCCAAGCCCCCAGGCTTCCCAAAGCACTTCAATCAAGCTCCTGGCCACTCTTGTGGCTGTTTGCTGTTGCAGGCTCCTCACCCTGAGCTTGAACTTTGAGCTTCTTCTGGATCCGAGCCAGCTTCCTCAGAAAGCACTAACAGGGTTCTGGATCAACAGCTTAGAAATTGGAGTGGCTGTCAGCCCCGATGATGTCTCTCATTCGGGTGCTGGCAAATTGTAGGGCATGGACCCAAGCAAACAGACAATGGGAATGCTGGGTGCGCTTAGCTGAGCAGGGCTCCCAAAGGTGATGAACGTTTGTTTTGGCAGAACTCCTCCTCCGCAAGCTTTGTCTAACAATACCCTTGCCTGAGGCCTGGCAGACAGCTGGCGGAAGATCTTTCCGCGAGATTTTCTGGCGGCCTTGCAAGCACTTATGCTTGTTTACAATGCTAGGCAGCAGGTTTGCGCCCGGGGTTTTCCCCGTGTGCTTTATGGCCAGCAGTCTTACCAGGATTTACAAGCTGGCGTTTTGCGACACTGAGGTGACATGTATCGCACACACTGCTCGCACGCTGCGCTTCGAGGCAAGCGAGCAGCAAAGTTTGTAGTGCAGTGGTTTAGGTGTTTGAGATTCAGGGTACGTTAATGTCATGTTGCCCCGTAAATGAGTCTGCCCCTTCATCTTCGTGGAGCCCTTGCTTAGTACTGTTCTCTTGAGAGCCATGTAATTGGTTTTGTCTGATGTTGGTATTCAGAAGCAGCTAAATTACGTGACTGTTGTTTGTTTTTCCGTTTGAGTTGCCGCCCTGGAGCTGGAGCGCACGCAATCATGCCTGCACATCTTCTGAAAGGCAGAGATTCGTGCTGGCTGGTGGGTTCGAAATGGTGAGTCGATGCGTCAACAGCATGTGCTCGGCTTACGATGCCGTTTGATTTGTTCGCGAAATGCTCTGCAGGCAAGCTCTGGTAACAGATAGTCAAAAATGTCCTGCGTCAGCTCGGATCCAAGGTCGACTATCGGGTCAAGTTCCGCCAGTTGGACATCATGATGCTTCAGGACACAGATTTTGTTGAAGCTGCAGTTGGTGGCAGTCAGCTCTGGAATTGGGCAGGCCTTCATGATTCTCCTCCACATGCACGGAAGCGAGGCAGCCTCATAGACGTTGAAAGACCAAGACTTTGCTGTTTTCGTCCAGTGCAAGAAAAGGTTTAGCAAACTAAGCAGCGAAGTTCGCAGGATGTGGCCTACGAGCCTGTGAGCTGCTTGTGGACCGCCATTGCACAAAGGGGCAACTTTGCCGTGGACAGCAGGTGGGTTCGAGGTGTTGGCCTGTGCTACAAATGGTAAGTGCCTGACAGTGAGAACGCCAACATGCCTGAGGATCTTAGAATCCATTGCTGTAGTACCTACCAGGACAGCCATCTTTGCTGATGGTGACGCCAAAGCAGAGGCATCAGCTGCATGTTGGACAACCCACGCCCCAAACCCTGCATGCCTTGAGGCATCTGCCTGGGTGGCATGGCAGAGGCAAGGTCTAGTTGAGCCTTCGGGAGCCTTCTGCTGACAGTTTCAAGTTTGGAAGCTTCATGTGCTGCAGGCTATGGGTCAAGGAGGCGGTCACCGAACAGACCAGGCCAACTTCCACTCTCCTTTTCCAGATGCTGACTGACACGCTTGCAAGCTTTTTGTGCGAACGGTTGCAAGTTCCATGTCAGGACTCGTTTTCGCTTATTCTGGCTTCTGCTCTGCCAAGTGCTGAACGAGATGTTTCCCATCGAGGTTGGGCCTGCAAAGTATCTGGCGCAGCAGCTCTTTGCCGGATGTTTTGAGAAGCCAGCAGAGAATTGAATGGCGGTGATTGGGGGAATGTCAAAAAGAACCTTTTCTTGTGAAGATCTTTCTGTCTAGGGGAATGGTCAGTGGAAAGATGTAGACTCTATCATGGGAATTTGGAAGCCTGGTGCCTCTCCTTCGGCAACTTCAGATTTCACTGAGTCTGCTGCAACACTGTAGGAAGCGGGACAAGAATTTGAGGCTCAGCACTATTGCCTGAACATGACATTGGCCCGGTCATGCACAGGGTCAAGAGCGCTGAAGATCATGCCGTATCTTGCAATGGGCTTGTGTGATCTTCAAAACTAGCTTGCTCTGCATTAGCCTGTGCTGCGAGGTGGCCATGTGCCGCCGAGCCTGGGAACCCAGGCAGGGAAGCAAAAGGGGACCACGGTCGGAATCGTAGTCCAGGGAACAATGTCTTTCTGGAGAAATTCTGTTGTTTAATGGGAAGTAACGGACATGACGATATCTTCTGCGAGAGCCGATCTTGTGTAGCTGTTGCAGTGCTTGACTGAATCTGGCACTCTGAAAGATCTGCGGTGGACCTGCACAGATTCCTGGCAGGTATTCCTACCGATGCCCTGTCATCTTGCAGAGGTTCTTGATTCAGGCGTGCCGACATCTCTGTTCCCAAATACATGTAGCAATTGCAGTGGACTGCTTGCCTTCAAGTTTCTGGTGACACTGGTGATCGGCCTGCAAGACCTGGAGGTTCTGGCCTCAGGCCCCATGACCATGTCTGAGCTCGCGAACATGGTGCCAAAGGAGCCAAGGGCAGCTTGAGGAAACCAACGAGACACTCAGGCAGCAGTTGATGCAGCCGCTACTTCCAAAGCAGTGCCACCCAGTACCAGCAATGGGTCCACGTGCCTCAAGGAGCTCCAGGTTCGTGAGGATCAGCTGGCAGAGGCCCTTGAGGCTGTGGCAACGTCTGCAGCTCAGCCACTTTCTCTGCATGCCTTGCCACTGGTGCTAGCCTTGCTCCAAGGCGCCAAGATGGGAAGTACGTTTTGAAGCAGCAGGGCTCCTGTCCTGCCTGCATTATCTTGCACTGTTCCTGCCATACACCCTGAGAATCAGCCTCGAGTCAAATAGAACTCGTCATTGCCACACATGCCGGTCGCAATTGAAGGTCTCGTAGCTTGAAGCCCATGTGCTTTAAGGCGGAGTTGGCAGCACTTTGACATCTGCACGGTGCTGCTGCGATTTGCTGCTTTCCGTCTGAATCCGGCGGGCTTCGCCGCGGCCAGGCCGAGGCAATGCCAATCCGAAACTGGCGAGATGGAACTTGGCGTGCTGGGCGCTGAGGAGAGTCTGCAGGACACGAGTTAGATACGGGAGCAAATGGTTCTGATCTAGCTCTGTGTGGCTTGTATGTGCCAAGTACCGGACTAAGGAACGGCAGCATCGTGCAGAGGAGAAGGCCCTTCAACAGAAGGCCTACTTATGACAACATGCTCGTGTATATCTTCATGAACACATTTCGCCTTGCCAAGCAGTGCATATGCTGTTCGCCATCCTCGCTCCTCAGAATTCCAAGCGCATGGATGTTTTTGGCTTGCTGTCATGCTGGACCCATGACTAGACTTTCGGCTGTTGGTGATTGCCTTTGAGATAATTTTCTCAACGCGTGCGACGCAACGGCTCACAGTTTTGACCGCAACATGAGCAACCGTCGTTTAAAGTTGGATAGGTTTATTGACAGCAGCCTGTATGCGCGGCCCCGCACACGCTCCACATCTACTGGCAGTCTACTGGCAGGATGCAGCATGACATCCACAATGCAAGACGCCACCGAAGAAATACACCAAAGACAGTATGGCTTCACCTTGGATAAAGTTTTACGATGCAACCAGGGCCTTCTCGGAAAAGACTTGTAGGACAGCCACGGCAACTGAGCCGAATGCTGTTGCCCGCCTCCAAGCTCTGTGATGGTGACCTGATGGTGACAGTGTTTGGTGGCGAACAGGGCATTCGCCAATCCTTTGCTGCAAACCTCCTCTGCAGCTTGATCACCATCAAGAGCACATGACATGTAGCTGCTATACGCAGTGGGACAGCAGCACTGTGCCACAGCAACTGCATTTTCAAAAATAGATGTTGGCCAACACTCAGACAAGCCATGCTAGAATTGTGTAGAGATCCTTCCCTTCTCGCCGTGTTTGTTGAGAAGAAGTTTTGAGATTCCACAGCCCTGGGACTTTCAAGCTTCTAGTGGTTACATTTTGCAAGTGGAGCCATGTCGTCAAACACGGCACGAGCTGTGCTGCTGTGACTTGACCCATTTTAGGTATTTTTTTCTCTGCGTGGAAGCAGGATTTCCAAGCTGATGGTGTTCCTGGACACCGAGGCTTTGTGCCATGATTGCAGCTGGTGAGACATGCCCAAAGCCTGGGCACTTCCACGCCTGCCAGACAGAGCCTTGTCCTGGTCAGCTTGCAGTGGTGAGCATAAACAACTCTCTTCTGTCTGCCGGCTGCCCAATTCCACAGCAGCAGATGAGTGGACGAAACCGATTGCAAGCTGGACACTTGTGAGATTTTTAGCTCAAAATGGTAAGCCTTCGAGAAGTCTTTCATAAGGACGTGGGGCTCGGCGCTGGCACCGCGGCAACGCTGCCCGCCAAGCCAGCAGCCAGCTGCTCCGCGCATGGCCCCTGTGCGCAGGACGGGGTCTAGAGTTGCTTGAGCAAGGCAGAGCAGTGTCAAAACAAGTTGCCTGGCAAATGCAGGCTGGCCTCATACAGGGTGACTGCTGCCCCTTGATCTCTATGATTACCTCTGCCTCTACTTGGCCATCATTTGCACGCAATATTGTGGAACGTCTGCTACGTTTGACGACACGCTTAGCGCCTGCTAGAGCCGCATATTCTCTCTGATTTTGCATTCATCTTGGGCGGTTGAATGAGGTCCCACCGGGACTGGTATCTATTTGTCGTGCTGCGACAGCGCTCGGCGGCTATCCCCGATGCATATGGATAAGAAGGGCATCACGCCGCCTGCTTGCAAATTATCCGCCTCTACCACTGCCTGCCTCCTTTTTCCTCCCTTGCTGTCTCTTTCTTTTTTCTCGCTCTCTGTCTCTTCCTCTCCCTTTCAACATATTCAAAATGGGCCATGAGCTAAGGCTTGACGACACCACTCTGCAATGGTGGCCCAGCTTCAAAAAAGCCGATCTAAGGGTCATGGCGAGGAACATACGACGCATCCATGATTGCAGTGATAGATGGATTAATTCAGACCAGATTCAGATACCTTGCAGCTTATCCAATTGCAAGGTGCCCCGGCCGTATCCCTCAGATGTGGCCAAACCTCCAGGCAGCTCAGCAGTTGGGATGGAGTGGAGTCCCAGACATTCAGTTCGCCTGGGCCATTCGGGACAGGACACCCCCATGCAGTCTCTGCGGATATTTCAGACATGGACGACCATCTGGCCACCAGAAGGCGCCTCTTAAGTTCTTCAATCTTGTGTTTAGTGTGGGTGCCTCTGGGTAGAAAGCTGTTGGTGGGCAGCCCTCTGAACTGTGTAGGCCGCCATGCAGCCTGGTCGGATCTTGCCATGTATGTGTGCCTTGTTCGCAAGGGCCTCGACCTTAATGCCACCTAGACTCTGTTTGCATGCCAAGGAAAGAAAATGGCCCAGTACTCAGCTGCGTGATGCTGCTAGTGCACCACTCATGAACTTGCAAGGAACACATATACTATGACACCTCGTGCATCATGTGCTGCCCTGTCCTAATTCTAAGGCATCAAAATGCTCGTGGGGACGCCAGTGACCTGCATCGCAGGTTCGCTGTGCCAAGCAAATTGCACTCCTGAGCTTGTGAAGTGTTTGCCAGAGACAAAAGGAAGAGCTTCCAGTCTATCTTTGCGCCCCTTATCCTTACTACTAATTCAATTGTTGTTATTCTACTGGACTTGCTCTTCAGCCTGGCATGTGAGCTGCCCTTTCAGGAGACGATGACCTGACCTGGAGCCCCTTGGACCAAAAGGCTTTCGCATGCTGTTGCCTATAATAGCAATAGTAGTAATAGTAATAATACTGATAGTTAAAATGGCTGCAGGGTATGGCTCATGGCCATTTCCAGGTAGCGTCTCATCTGGTATCACCTCAGACTGCAGTCACGAAGGCAGTACAATTTGTAAGCAGTGCCTGACGTTATTTCCTGCGTGATGCTTGTCCTTGGCTAACTGGAGAAAAGTTTTGTGACACCTTTCCTCAATGTACAGGCCTTCCAAACCTGATTGCAAGCATGTTGTCAGTGGGATTTTCCAACTTAATAGCTATCTAGTTAAACTCGCGTTGGCTTGGAGGCAGTGATGCCTCTGTCTACTTAGGTTGGACCAAAGAATTCCTGGGAATGGTTGGCCGCGAGCATGCCCCTTGCGCAGAAAATGATCTGGAGAGTTTCTAGCGCGATGTGCTCGTACACGAGGATTGTGTGCGGTGCATGACAGCTTCCGAGGTTATGGGCCTCGCCATTGGGAATGAGCTAGAGCTGCTGTACAATCATGCCGCTCTGCAAAGGGCATTGGGCACTGGCAGTTAGAAGTGTTTGCCCTCGAAGTGCAAGACACCAGTCGCCTCTTGCCGATATTGAGCGTAACCTGAGATGGTCCAAGGCTGGCACCGAGTGCATACGAGAGCTGTGGTCGGGCGGCCGGCTATGGCAAACGTTTCAGTCACGCGTGGCGGAATTTGCCGCTTGTCACTGGAGGAATGACTTTCTTCGCCTTACTCGGATTTTGTATTTAGGGGTGGCAAGCAAGCAGGAAGAGGCTGTAGAAGAGATGGTACGATCTGAGCCCGATAGCTTCGTTTTCTGTCTGCACAGCTTCGCTAAGGATCAAATGGGAGTCTTGGATACATTCAGATCCCGAACCACTGTTTTTGGTAGTTTTGTGCACCTCCCCTTGCGGCGGGCGACAGCTTAGTAGGAATCTTTTGCACCCAAGGTTTTTCGGGCATACCTGTCGCCACCTCAGCAGGAACATCCTGCAGAAGCAGAAGCTGCCGCGGGTCCCTTTAGGGGGTCCACACACATGGTTCAGCAGTCCAGGTGACATCAGTCTTCACGGCAGGCGTCTTGACACGCTCCTTACCTGAACGGGGAAAAAAGCTGTAGACGAGAAAGAGCGCAGTGGATCTGTCATTCTGTTTGCGAGTGAAAAAGCAAAGTAACGAATAGTGCGTGCTACGTGCTCAGGAAGTCCGGTGGTGCCATTCTTAGAGAACCCATCGCAGGGCCTGGTGAACACATTTCTTCAGCAGGCCGTTCGCAAGCCGCTCGGGCTTGGTAGATTTGGTAGCAGCTTGGCAGTGCAAAGATCCAGCTTTTTGGCTACATGTCAGCGCAAAGGTACGGCAAACGATATGCCTTCACTTTCAATGTTACTTGGTTTCAGAAGAAGAGCTTGCAATCAAAGGCTTGCCAGTCTATGTTGAGAGTTGGGAATCACAATGAATCACAATTCGCACAGGTGTATCCATACTTCGATCCGAACCTCCACTTGGACCCTGGCACGAAGGACTGCCAACAAAGTAACAAAGTCTCTTTGTAACAGAGTTGAAGCGCTGGACAGAGTAGGAAGGTAGACCCTGCAGACCAGCGCATGTCTCGGGAGGCTCACGAGCCTACGTACTTTCTGAGGACAAGTGTGACCTGGACCTTCCACGTGTGACATGCTGGGACAAGCCGACTTGCCTCGGTCCGAACATCATGGACGCCTATCTGAAGCCTGGAATCTCGTAGACCATTTTTTCTACGCGTGCCTGAGGCATCAGCCCGCAAGCAGATGCACTTTCTTACTCGACGCTGGGACGACCTGCGGGGAGCTCAAAGACTTCGAGTCGCAGAGATTTCAAGCGCCAGCCAGTGAGCTAGTGGGTGTCAGTGACATCGAAGCCTCCTGTCTTTCAGGTTCTGGATCGGCGAAATTGGTTGGTCCTCGCCACAAGCTTCGCTTCTTGGTACAGCAGCCGGGCCTGAGGAAGTTAGGAAACAGATATTCTGTTGCACTGGCGGAGCATGGACAGCATGTCAAAAGCGGTACCGGGCCGGGACTTCTTCCTCACAATGGGTGGTCCATTTTGTGAGTTCTGCTTGGGGAGCAGCGGTGGCAACAGAGGGACTCAATGCTGATAGTCCCACATCTTATCCAAACAGATTCGCCATTTCGTCCTCTTTATGCAGCATGTGTCGGTTTCGGGCCTAGGCCCAGGCTTGATTAGGGGCCTGGGCGGTTGCAGTTGTTATGAGCAGGATACACACGTCTGTCAGGATCAGGGTGAAGCCAGTTGTGTCATGCCAAGTCAAGAAACCAATCAGGTGGCGGAAAGCAGCACAACGGGGAAGCAAAAAGAAAGTTTATGCCATTCAGAACGACCCTGTTAAGTTTTGTTTTGGAGGAACCCTACACAAGCTCCTGCAAAGCCAAACACGGATCATGTAGTCCTGATATGTTGGCATGCGGCTTGGGGATTAGTGTAACCGCTAACGCGGGACCGCCTCGGCAAGCGTAGAGGAGAGCTGCAGACCCGCCAACTCCCCTCCAACCCATCCCCTCCTTGCTCGTCTCATCTTCTGCATTTCGTGCCGCAGGATCGCGGAGGATGTGAAAGACGCTGCCGATCATGTTCTGCAAGCTGCCATTGCAATAACACAGGACCCCCCCTCAGAAACCGACAACCAAAAGCTGATCGCGACTGCTATGATAAGGTATTCTCCTAGTCTCCGAACCTGGATCTAGACGCCCCAGGGCTGCGGCATCGACGGATCAGAGTGGTGGGCTTTATCCAGAAACGAAGCCCAGAAATTTCCCATGGGGTTGAAGTGCAGAAAATGAGAAGGGTCTCGTATTCAATGACAGCGTCAACAAGGTAGAGGTTGGTGGCAGACCATTTGCTAGCTCTGCTTGTGGAGCAGATGGTAGCTAAGCACCTAGGCCGCTCTTTGCAAAGCAGGCATTGACGCCCAAGACTACGTACGGAATGGAGGTTAGGAGGCCACGATCCCCTCTAGCAGGAATTATTCAAGCAGATCAGATCCCTGCCGAGCATCAAGAGCGACTGCAGAGAGCATCAAACCAATTCCTTTCTTACCGTTTCGCCATGCGAAAGGGACCAGTCTAAGTAGACACCCACCAAATTCAAGAGCTGGAGAAAAAGGTTGGTGATCTGGAAAGAGCACAACGTATGTAAATGTTCTCTGGGCATGCGATGTGTCTGGCAACTAAGAACATGGCCGACTGTCCACAGCCACTCGGCTTGCTGGAACTGGGCAGCTAATGCTCTGCATTCCATTGCAGACGGCAGTGCTAGCGTGTAAATGTGGGCGTGGATGCCCACATTCCCTGTGCCCAGATTTTCATCGTTGAACACTTTCCAGACATTCTACGAGACCTGGATGCAGTGTGCTGCATTGACATGAAACATGAACCTGCAAGATTGTTTGAACAGTGACGCTGTGTCCTAAGAACGGCTTCCTTGAATGGGACCTGACGCTGCCCCAGGGCGTCCCCGCGCCCGACCATGTACCTTGACCGTACAGCCGAAAACCGCAATGATGTTGATGCCAGAAGTTCCTATGCGGATACACAGCATGACTCGCCTTTCGATTCACATGATCGTGCAAGCTTGACAATCATGGATATCTTCAATGAGTCCGGCCTAGATCTTCTACTTCACCTTGCGCGACGCGCTGAACTTTGGGAACCAGGACACTTTTGGGGCTTTATCTTTAGTTCAGAAGCCTACATGATATGGCTTTGTTCCATTCTGCTGCGGCCAGGAGCACTTCGGTCTCCTGACTTCGTGCCTCTCGCTGCCTAGCAAATTCAGCGTCCATTTTTTCTGTCGAAACCGCCTTGAGCAACAGAGTATGGCAAACCAAGAGCTAGAACCCTTTCATGCAAAGTGTTTCAGCGCCCAAAACTATCCGTGAACTCCAGACATATCGGGCGGTTGCAAAATTTGTGAAGTCCGGCAGAACATGACAAAGGCTCGGCTGCAAGATCGCCACACCCAGCTTCCGGCCGCAGTCCTGCCCGCTGCCGAAGCCCAAAAATCCGCTTTCGTGGCAGGACTGGCGAGGGCCACAGCATGCCACAGGGGTCTGAACTTGCCCAACTTCCAGGGCTGAAGAAGAGGTTTGTAGTGTCCAGGTGTCAAATTTCCAACGGAACAGAAGGGGATGATGAATGCCTCTTGAGCCTGGTTGAGTGCAAAATCATGACAGGTATGGGGCTTTGCCGCACTCGGTGTATTGCAGCTTGGCAAGACGCTTCTTAGGACGGGAACCGTTGTGCTCCAATTTGATTTCAGGCTTGTCGAAGCAGCGTGCAAAGTGGGCAAGTGTCGAGATTCTTCCTGCAGCTGAAAGTCTACTCAGGCTTGCCCTGAGTGGAGCCGTCACTTGCCTATACGTGCGATGGCCCAATGTATCTTGACTGCTTTGGAGGAAGTTCTTTTGAATGGCTGTTGCGCTCTCATGGGTTCAATTGAATGCCACCTGCCACAACTGCCACAATAGATGTAAAGATCTCAAATCTCAAGCTTTGGTTTGTAGTCACTGTAGTCAATCGGCATGGCTCGGCTTCCAACAGGTGAAGAGCATGGTACGCAGAGAGCCAAAGAGTAGCTCCAAGCGGCGTTTGAAGGCCGGGTCCTTGTGCTCTCTCTGGACGAATCTCTTGAATACGGTTGCAGGAGGACACTCGAGCTGCGGAAGACAGCTGCTCGGGTTGCATTACCCGGAAGCTGGGTTTTAATCAATTCGATGCCTGATCTTTCAGCCATGCAGTCTGAAGCCGAAGGTCTGGGCAGGTGAAAGGAGCCTTTCCTCAGAAACGCTTAAAGTTCCAGGCAAGAGATCTCAACTTGGCTTTCAGGCGATTCTTCCGAGTGAGCGCAAGCCAGTTCGGTGTCTGCAGCGTGCGAACTTTAGTCAACAGTACAGTTTATCTTTTGCCGGATCCCGGCACAGGGCCAGTACAGGCATTGGCCACGGCAAGTACCATAGCAGGTGCTTCCTTTCGTGGCACTTGCAAGGCTGCAAATCTGGGCTTCCCCAGGTCAGATGCCTACATTATGCTTGATTATGAACAATGCCACATGTGCATTTTAGCTCTGCCACAGGACTTCTGGGGCCTGCAAGCTGACCAAAAAGATCCACTGAGATGTACGGTACATGTAGCCAGTTGTACTCTGCTCTGATTATTTGATTGCTGGAGCTGACCGCCTCCCGCACTCCCATTGCTAGGTCTCTTTCCCCAGCCTTAAGCAACAAGTTCCCGCCAAGTTGAAGCGATGGCGGCCCAGCGCTGCAGCGCTCCAGGCCTCTTGCAAAGCACTTTTGCAGGTGCCACTGAAGCTTGGGACACACTGTAAGATAGGCACCACAACATGAGGCATTTTCGTGCACCTTGTCGCCGGCCCACACCATCTTCCTTTTGTCCTTCAGGTCTTTTTGCCATTGCGATTGCGACATGGTCATCATTCCAGGCAGGTTAGTTGTGCAGGTAGCCAAAAGTCATGACGCCATTCATGGATTCGGCAAAGTTTTGAGGTCTTACAATGCCCTTCATTTAGATTCAAGCAAGTGGAGCAACTTGGAAGATAGGCCGTGGCTGCAGAGAGCAAGGTGATCAATCTCAGTGAGGACGCGGAATGGCTTAGCGGACCTGTGAAGGATGTGTACTTTGTACCAGATGCTCCACGCAGTCGTAGAACAACGATTCAGATCGGCATTCGCCATGGAAAAGTTTTGCCTTGAGCTATGCAGGTAAGCGCCTGATCCGTACACATCAGAGGGTTGGCTAGGCATACGATACTTGTGATTCTCCAATGCTGAGATTAGACAGAAACTGCGCAACTGCTGACTCAAAATTGACAGGTACCAACGCTTTGGAATATCATGCAACCTGCTTCTCAATTCCAAGCCAGATGTGCATGCTCAGGCTGTTCCACCTTGCGCTGCAGGAGACCTTCGCAGAAAGTTTGCGCCGAGGGCACCGAGCGCTGGTGGCCTTCGTCACGCCCTGGTGGGGCCCACAGCGTGGGGATTTGGACTTCCCACGACATTTCCTGACCCTTGGAGAGACCCAGCTGCATGGCATTCACGGTTTTGAAGGAACTCTCAAGCCCTCTAAAGCCTTGCATTTCAGACTCCTTGCTCATAACCTCCTGGGAAGCAGGGCTCCTCTGTGGTTTTGACAGTTCGCGGCTCGCCCATGGCATTTTGGCTCAAGGATGCGTGAACTGTAACCCCATACACGCAAGTAATGGCCTCTGATGAAGGGTGTGCGCTCTTGCAGACCTCCAGCCATATTCTTCGTAAGCCAGCAGCCCAAAGCTTCATGGTGAGAATTGTATGGTATTCACTTTCTGGAACTACTTCGTTGTCTCTCCCTCTTTCTCTTTCTGTCCTGCGAAGGGTCTCTGAGGCCTGGCGCTGCCTTTGGTGGAGATTTCTCATGTGCTTACAGTTTGCACCGCCTGCGGCCTCATTTTGTGGCTTGGAAACGGCACTTGCAATAGATTATTCGTATCATGCTGGCTTAGCACGGGCCATTGATTAAGGAAGGGATTTTGCGTTGACGCTGTGCTCAGCATACTCGTTGCTTGAGGTGGCTCATGTTTGATGTGCTCTCGGGTGCACCCAAGCAGCCCCGCAAATCTGGCGGCAACAGCAGCTTGAGCTTCTGGCAGCTGAGCTTGCTGGCGGCATCTTGGGTGCAGAGGTCTTGGAGTTTGGCGCGTCCATGTGCAATTTGGGTCGTTTGAGGCAACGTTTACCTTCGAGTTCTTCTGCACAGACCAATACCAACCAAGCATGCCTCAGATGGCTTTGGACTTCAAAGTTCCGCAGTCCAGCATGAGCCCTGCTGCATTTTACTTGGGAAGAGTCGTGTGAAAGCGGTGGGGCAAGTGGAGCCAAAGGAGCGCCGAGCAAGACTAAGGGCCCTGACGATTCAAGTCCACCAGGTGCCACAGCTGAAGTCCGTTGGTCTTTTGTACGAGGTATGGTGGCAGTTGATGCGTGGATGTGGAACCGAGGTATCTGGCGGCATCGGGATGCTAATCGGCGCGCCAATGTCTGACCGGATTGGCCGAAGACCTGTCGCGTGTCTGTGCTGTCTGTCCTTTCTGATAGTGACCACGAGGATCTGTGAGGTCGTGACAGCTTGTCGAAGTGATAGGTTCCAGCGTCGGACAGTTTCGAATGGTGCAATCTAGGAATCTAGGTCGAGGTGCTAAATTGGGGCTGTCTGCGGAGGCTTTGAACAGCATTCCGGCATAAGAAATGACGACACCGTGAAGATAGGTTTCCTTCTCTGCTATGTAGCAAGTTGCCCACATCGTGAAATCCAGTATGAAGCTTGTTTCCGCCTGTGTTCATGAGCCCACCGAAGGTAACAGTCAGTAAATGAAGTTGTCTTTCCTGAAACAAGCCCTCGCCATGCAAGCATTCCCTATGCTGGAGGCCTTTCGCGATAGGCGTCCCGATTTCTTTGCTGCGGACTTGTCATCTAAGGTCATCCTTGCATCCCAGCTTCTGCTAGTCGTGAGCACCTTCACGTGTGCTTGCGCCACAAACTATTACTGGATGCTTGGACTTGTACAGATGTTTCAGAGCTGAGATTCCGTTGGTAAGGGTGCCGAATAAAGCAGTGGCCCATGAGCACCAAGGTTTGTTGCTGGCCGGGTCTTCCAAGGTCTCTCTCAGGCAGTGCTTCTAATTTTGGTCGGATCTTCAAGCCCCGAGGGCTTTGCCTCAAGTGCTTGGTAGTTGCATTTTCTCGATTTGCAGTGCGCTGGGGCCGTCATCGCAGCTTTGGTCCGGGATACCTATGAGGATGAAGCAGCCTAGCAGCTGCATCAAGTCCCGATTGGTGGGGTATGGTACGCAAACTGGGAGACCGATATAACATGAAGCGTGCCAAAAATCACTGAGGTGCGACTCTCGGTGCTGGGAAGCCTCTTTGCCACTGCCCTCTTGGGCCCCCTGGTGGCACCTTCCATTGGGGGCCTATTGGCCACTTACCATGGATGGAGGCTTCTCCGAAATGCAAGAAGTTTTTCCTGGCTTCCAGCAAGCGCCCGTGGGGTCAATTGATGACTCGGCAGGTTTACCTTCTTCGTGCTGCTTCCGCCACTGCTGCTGACATTTGTGGGGACTTACATTGCGATTGAGGAGACTGTAACTTGCCTGCTTCAGCGCACCAATCCATTTGCAAGATGCAAAAATTAAAGCTCTGATCTCTCAGCCTGGAGTTTTGAAGGCGCGTAGCTCTTATTGGCAAGATGAATGAGGTCTGCTGTATATTCTAGATTGTTGTCCAGCTCACACTTTGCGGTAAAAGTTTCCAGGGACAACCCCCTCAAGGTGAGGATCCTGGGAGGTGGCGCTGGGTAGTCCGCTTACGAGCTTCAGCAAGGGGACCAGCACCTATGAAACCACATGTCTCGAGCAGGGGAGCAGGTGCAGAACTGAAGCTTCACTGGCGCGCGCCATGCCAGGCACCTATGTCTGAAACTTCTTTGCTTTCTGCTGCAAAGCGGGTGCTCTTGAGCCGGCGGCGCCTTCTGATGTTGGCCTCTTGGCTGGAGGAGCTGAGCACCATTTCTGGAATCAGTTCCAGACCCCGTGCCCATGAGGTGAGCCTCGGCCTGGCGAAGTCCAGCTTCCTGATTATCGACGGCTCGAACGCCGCCTGAAACATGTGCTTTGCTCTGCGTCTGAATTCTGCGTTGTGTTGCCTTGCTGGCGCCTGGGCAGGCATTCACGCTGGAGACCGTCTACCACAAGACTCAAGTCCAGGCGGCAGGCCTGATCACAGCCGTTGCTTTTTCTGGCATACTCGGTACCGTTGTGGTGTCGAAGCTTGGTTGGGAGCCCCGCGACGTGCTCGTATTCTATGGGCCCCTGCTTGTCATTTCGGCCACCGGCACTCTGCTTGTGGCCTTCTTTGCTTCGGGCAGTTTGGTGGGTTACATCGTGGCGGTCTGCCTACAGCATTTCATTGTCTTTGGGCCCAACATGGCTCTATATGCTGAGTTTCCTCAAGACTTGGCGGATGTAGCTGGGATGGCCAGCTGTATTCAGCTGTCCGGAAGCTGCATCTTAGCCAGCCTCTTTTCGCTCCCTGGACTTGCAGCAGCCGCTGGGCAAGCCATAAGCCATAATTGAAATGACGATTTGTCAATATGTCCTGTAGAGTTTTGTAGGTGGGACGTAGCTTGGAGCACTGGGCAGGAAGCTTGTCGGACAGAGCTGTTAGTCCTGCAAGGCCGGAGGAGGCTCGCGCGGAATGCTGTCATCCTTGGCGATCACTGTGATGCTGTTGCAGCTGTGCAATACGGTATTCCTCTGCATCAGCGGGAGGAGCTTTATGGAAAAGAGACAAGACTTCGAATCTTCCTTGGCAGAAGCCACTTGAGATCGTCATCGCAACTGGACATTCACCTTTGGAACTGGATGGGTTCTCAGCCTCGTACAGTATGACCTGCTGGGCCAGAGTCAGATTCTGGCATTTCCAGCTGCGGCATAAAGCAACCCATCATGTATGTTTTCCACTCGCTTGAGCCATGCTCCGTTCGAGATGCACCGGACAGGGACAGTGCGCAACTATTCAGATTTGTTGTGCGGTCGGTCACCGACTTTTCCCACTCCTCATCGCGGCGGCTTCGCGTCTTGAAAGCAGTGTTGCACTCTCCAGAAAAAGTCTAGTGGCTCCGGCCTGGGTGTATCGAACATTCGACTTTAGATGTGTCTGTTCAAGACAGCAGTTTGTAGGCGAAGCTACAGAGGAAGCTGCATCGCATGCTTGCTGGGAAGGGACTCTTCACTGCCTTCGGATGGGTGTCGGCAATGGTCAGCTCAGAACAGAAGCACGTGGATGCTGACTGCAGCAGAGTAGACCCGACCAAGCCCGCAAAGCAGCCAAGAAGCCCCTGAGCCCAATCTGCGAGTTCTGACGCTACTGCCAACGGATCCACAGACAATCAGGAAAACTAGCATTCAGGTTCAGAAGTGGATGCAAGTAGTTTGAGGCTAGCCTACTCAGTCGCAATCCAAATTTTGGAGAAACCTCGACTTCATAAATGAATCTTGGCGCAAGTCTTGTCCGTCCGACATGTCTAACATTAACAACAAATGTGCTGAACATACCAATGGAGCACAACTTCAGAGCCCTAAACCCCAAACCCTAAACCCTGTGCTTGGCACCCAGGTGCTTAGCTTGCCGTCTTCTGATGGCAGAGCTCGAGAAGCTGCAGGAGGAGCACCGACTTCAGCCAGGCTTTTAGGTAGGGAACGAACAATGCAAGCGGGAACGAACAGTGCAAGAATGCAATTGTACTATCTATTTAAGGTTTCTAGGGGAGGCTTGCTCAGTAGTATGGAGGAGTTAGGCCTTTTGTCATGTGCTGATGCAGTGGGCAACGGTGATGTTGCCACGCTTGCTGGCTTGCTTTTGTACAGGCCTTGCAGCCGCAAATCTTAGTGGCACAGCCCATGCCTAAGTCGACGACTTGCTGGGAGGTAGTGGATCGACCAGACAATACCTGTGGCTTCCTTGTGACAGTATCTCTTTCACGCAGGTCCCATGGCAAAGCAAGATGAGGTAGTTGATAGCCAGTAAGCGATCCTTTGCTTGCGAGGTGTGATGTGTCAAAGGAGACTGGGCTTGCAGATCTTTACAGCGCTTGGCGAACACCGCTAGTCGAGGACTTGTGATCTGTTTGGTGTCGGCCGCATCGGATCTCAGAAGATGTGGCCCAAGGTGTTACTTTTCCCTGACACGGAGATCTTGCTGCCCGGGCTACAGGCCGCATGTCCATCCAAGTAGCATGAGATATTATTCTCGGTTTGCAGTCAGGCTGATAGCGGTAGCAAGTAAATAGTATGTTGGACATATACATACGCCCTCAACTTGCGCGCTGATCCTGCATGCACAGGTGACCTTTTCGGGACAGATGCAGTACTCCTCCCTGATCAGCTTCGCAAATGGGGGGTTCGGGCCTCAAGTGCAATGTCAGAGCCTGGGAGCGAGGCTACGCTATGGTATGCCCCAGTCTCCTGCTTAGTCTCTGCGTGCTGCCTGAGTTCTGTTTTCGCTGTGACAGAGGCCCTGGACGCCACAGCTCCGCTCATTTGCGGATCTTGAGGAGGCCCGCCGTTAGCAAAGGATGTCTGTCCCATGGTGAAAAGCCCTGAGAATTTCTCTGTGCGGGCAGAGTGTGTACTTGCCTTCCAGTGTGTGAGCAGGAAGAGATCTTAGAGCCTTGAGCTTGTCAACAACAACTAGCCCGAAGGTCAACTTGTTCGCAAAGGTGGTAGATACGAGGGAATGGAGGTTTAGGGCAAGAGACAGTTTTGTGAGCTGAGATGAGACAATGTGAAGTATGAACTGTTCAGAGAAGCAGTCAGGCTTCAGTGTTAACTTCAAAATTGGGCTGAGGTTGAGACCTGAGAACGTACAGAAGGGGTTGCGGGAACTCCTCTGGCTGGAAAGAGCTTCTTGGGGGCCTTCATGAGTGATGCGAGGGATTCGAGCTTTTTTGTGATCTAGCTTTTCAACTCGCAGTGGGGAGATGGATCGCCGCAGTGCTTGCTTGTGCGGTTGAGATTTCTTCTCTGGCTTTCAAGCCGAAATCTCATCCAACAACCTTATGCTGCTCCCGCGCTTATGAAGGCCGTGCACGACAGTGGCCGTGCCGGAACTTTTGCCAGAGCCTCGCATGAACGGGCGGACCGGCAAGATGCCATCTACGGAGTGTAAGCAGAAACATCTTTCGCATCCTCCTCGCTTGCGGAATAGGGCTGCCATTGCAAGTATCACGAGAGCGACGTGGCGTAAACATTCCAGACTCATCTTCGATGCCTCAAGGCAAAGAATTGATATCAGAATAAACGCAGCGCTAGTGTCTCTCCTTTTTACGCAGCTTGGGTGGAGCTGCATGTGTTGCTATCAGTGTTCCAGCAGTCTTGGTCTTATCAGGTGGGTTTCTTCCGATCACCGGAAGCAGCAGGGCCTCTTCAGGCTCGACCGCTTGTGCATTGCAAAACTGTAGGGTACAATATCGCAAAGGATCTGGTGCACTTTTGGCGGCTTGCAAAAGGGGTTCTCACACGAATTAGCCATTCCATGTGCTTGCCGAAAAAGTGACTGACGTCTTTCAGAGGAGCTTTGGCCACTGGACTGCCTGCGACGTTACAACCGTGCATTTACGTTTGCCAGGCGGAGGGTGATTTGACGCGTTTAGATTTCTGCAGATCTTCACTACTTTGGCCAGTCCTCAATCACATGTAAGAACATGCTACATGGATGGAGGACTCCAGCAGTTGTTCAGCCACACGCGCAGGTGGGAGAACGACACAGGCACTAACAAATCTAGAGGGGAGGAGGCAAGACGCACTGCACATGCCAGGCTTTCTGCTGCTTTCTTCATTGTTTCTGGTCCTTGCTGTCAGGAGCTCTGGCGCTGGGCTGGACTTGGTACCCGAAAGGCGCATGATAAAGGCCGGGGCTGGCATAGGATGCAGCCATCAATTGTCGAGGCCTTGCGAATAAAGGAGGTCCAGGAGGGCCAACTGCTGAAGCAGGACCCGGAAGCTTCAGATGGCTGCGCATGATCTCCACGCAGCGCAGTGTTTTAAATTCTTCCTTGCTATGTAATGCACATCGATTGCTTGACCAGGAGATCGAACTGGACTCGAACACCGGGTCCGCACAGTTGGCGTCGGGCACCCGTGCACCAAGTACTGGTCGCCTCTTGCATTTGCACGGATGGCAGTTTGACTTGCAAGTAGGACAGCTAAACCCAAAGTAAGCCATCACAAGTTCTTTGAACGAGGCCTGTGGAAGCAATCGTCTACGTCCGGGCTGACGAGGATGCCTGTCAATTCGTCGGCCGCTCGAAACGGGATTGTCAAGCCTCAGACAAAGCCAAGTCCAGCAAGTGAAGCAGCAAACCAGGCACCCTTAGACAAATTCATCTTCTACCAGGCCCGTTTGGGATTTTGGTTGTCTGGCCAGATTTGCACTGTGCTTCAAAGACGCGCAATTTGTCAGCAACGGGTCGACTACGAACTAACTACTTAAAACTACCTACAGCAACTCAGACCTGCTGCAGGAAGGCGGCTCTTCGTCGTCTACAGCAAGGTTGCATGGCCAACGAAGCTAATAAGCTTGCTTCAAACTCACCCCGCACCACTTTTTTCAGATGAAAGCATTGGCAACCTGCGCAACCTGCGCAGAGCAGGTTCACGGCCTCAAGCTGGAGGGAACAAGCCTCCCGGCTTGCAGAGCATTGTGAGCTTTGTGCAAGCCTTTGCCTAGCAAGCCGTGCTAGGTGGATGCTTTCTGCGCCTGGTGCGAGCGCCAGGCAAGCGGTTCCCCATGAGATTTCGTGATCATCCAGCAAGAGCAAACACTCGCGGCACTCACGGCGCTCGCACAAGCCACTCAGTCCTCCCTAATGATGATCAAAGTGCCCTTGCGACCGTGTGATGGGCAGAGCTGGCCGCAGACTGGAGTTGTACAGTCCATCGGCAAGGTGCTTGCCCCAGTTGCCGTCTTCGATGCGCCGCGTGCAGCGGCTCTGGACAGTTGGGAGCTCAGGACTAGAACGAGAATATCACCGTACCTACCGTTCGTCCGCACAAAATAGCTGAGGAACCTTTGACTGGCTCTTGCTCCTCTTTGCGCCAAAGGATGTGACCGAGGACGCTGCCCTGTCTCTGGCAAGATAAGCCGTTGGCTGAGTCTGTACGTCTACCAGGATCAAGATGGCGAGGCCTGCTTCTTCCCAGCAGGATGAACTTGTGATGAGTCGCATGGTCTTGCCTTTTGGCCCTTGCTCCTGATTGGATAGCACCGCGTCGCAGTCTGATTTCCATCGTGAGCGGCGGCGCCTAGAACGCTTCACATCGGCCGCTTGCGCCAAGGATGGTCTGCTTCTGTTTCAGAGGGGTTGGCTGTCAGAAATGTTCGGTCTCAGGCAAGTATCCTGAGTCATTGAAACAGACGAAATGATGTCAGCGCTAGAAGGTATTCGAATTAAGGCAATTGACTGTAAGTTGGAGCAGCGCGCACGGCCATATCAGAAAGTGTAAGTTGGTTGAGCCTGAGATTGGCTGCTTGCAAGAACAGCATGAATCTTAAGTTCTGTTGTAAAGCCTTCTCAGCACCTCAGGCATGACCTTTGCGAATGTACATAGCAAGCAGGATTATCGTTCAGGATCTGCTGAATGGTCTGTTGTTGCGACGTGCATTTCCGCAGGCACTTTGTTGCGGAACTCGCTGTCAAAACTGTTCGGTTGTAGTGCCTTCGCAGGCTTCAAATGGGTTTTCGCAAACCTCAAGACACAACCTCAACAAATGCCCTCAAAGCGTTCAACAGGGCATGTCAGCAGCGGGTCACTCAGTAGCAGGTGAGGAGCCACCATGTCGTGAGGGCATGATTTAGCTTTTGTACCCATTTCTTAAGGCCCTCTTAATGCCGCAGAGCTGAACTGTTGTAACACAACATTATGTCGACATGACCTTCCAAATCAAGGCTGCTAACCTCACCGATAAAGAGTTGGAACGGTAACCATCATAACATACTGTAGGTTTGCAGCGCCTCGAACCAACTGATTGCAAGCAGGACAAACGCTATGCAGAGGCCCGCTTTGGCGCAAGCCTCCTTTAGTCATGAAGCATTGTAGTCGTGTTGTTTCTGCAGAAGGGCTACATGCTGTGTGAGAAAATGGCATGACATTCTTTGAGCACGCTTTTTAGGCACAGGACGTTGTGTTCAGGCATGTTGTCTGTTCTTGTCTGTATCCTTTGGATGTTGCTGCGACTGCTATCGCTACTACAGTCACTAGCCGCGCCTGCAAAGAAGCGCTTTTGAGGGAAAGCCCGCTAAATGCAGCGACGTCAAACTTTGATGCCTTCTCAAAACCCTGGTGCTGCACAGCAGGTTCTACCTGTGATCGTGCCATGGGGCGGTGAGGACACATCTTGCGTGGAGTCGATGTCATCAGTAGATTTTTGGTTTCAAACCCTTTGCGCAATCCAGATTTGGCCATGAGTGCCGGAGACTTCCGCAAGGATCCGCACGGTGATCGCAACTTGAAGGTTTTGTTGTGGCATATCCAGTTTCTTGCAAGCTATGAACGGATGAGCGCTCTGGTGTCACCGCGAAGTGCGCGTTCAGATCCCGGGAGCACACATCTGCAATCAGCGAACCATTTGTTGTAAAGGCAGCTCGCACCTCGCCTCCGCATGTGTTGGCTCGAACCTTGTGCAGACGCATCGATTTGCGAGATTTCGCAGCAAGCCGCGCTGATGCGGTCGGCAGCCTCTTTGATGCAAGTCCAGAATTCGCCTGGCTGGCACCTTAACATGCAATAAGATGAGGTGTTATTCCAAAGCAAAAGCTACTTGCAAACTTTTGCCATGCCCCAACAGGATGCCAGAGTTTCTGCTAGAGGTACTGCGCAGCTATAGGGAGCTGCCGCAGAGCAGCTGACTGGCAGAAGGCGCTACATCTCTTGGAGGAGTTGGGCAAAAAGGGGTCCCGTTCAATGCAAGACATGTTTTACAGTGAAGGCATGGGTCCTTGTCTGCATAGCACAGATTAAGCATGGCTTCTGGCATGACGAGTTCTTTCTGTCCTCGTCCAGGATGCGGCAAGCAACTCGCATAAGGCGTCTGTCTTCTCCTACACGGCAGCAATCACCGTCTGTGAAGCAGCAGGGCGGTGGAAACAAGCGCTACTGGTCTTGGAGGGCATGTGCACGGTAAAAGTTCGTGTGGATGTTGTTGTCTATAACTCCGCAATCAGTGCTTGTGGACGTGCTGGCCAGTGGGAGTGGGCCATCAGTCTTTTCAAAGTGCTTCAGGATGAGGCTTTGCAATGTACTGTCATCACATACAACTCGGTCATCAGCGCTTGCGAGGGGAGATGTTGGAATGCTGCTTTGCAATGTTTTCAAGAGCTGGTGTTTCAGCAAATGGAAGCAGACGCAATCTCCTACAACTCCGCGATCACAGCTCTGGCAGCAGCTGGGCAGTGGCAGGGTGCCATGCACATGCCACTCGTTCAGAAGACCTTTGTGAATCAGCAAGAAGCTGTTGTAGGCGTGTTGGTTGCCGAACCTTTGGCAGCCTGCAGAAAGATACTCAGGCTCTGCCAGCTACAAAGTGAACAACTCAAACCGACGGTGGTCACGTGCAGTGCGGCCATGAAAGCCTGCGAAGTGGCAGGGCACTGGGAGGAAGGCCTACATCTCTTTCGTGTATTCTTGGTGGATTATGTGCAGCCAAATCTGATGCTTGGACTGCCAGCTTCCCATGCAAACATGTGCCGTAGGTGGCAGGACTTGCTAATTATGCATACGTCAAATGCGTCAAATGCACCTTGAGAAAAAGCGATGACTCTCACATGTGTATCAAGGGGTGGGCGAATAGCTGCAAAGGCCTGTATCCACGTGGTGTTCCTGTAAGGAGGGTCGCGCAACAGGAGGGGTCACGCCTGTTAGCCCAGCATCAGCAAACAGGCCAAGTAGATGTGTGATCCCACGCATTACTAGCGGAGTGTCCTGGTGCGGTTGTGCTCCAGCTTCGACGGTCGTCCTTTCACATCCTGTTGCATGTCTGTCCACAACCCAGGATCAGCTTCAACTCTGCCATCAGCGCTTGCCAGACCTGCGTCGCTTGGCGTCGTGCTCTGCTGCTCGTCAGTCAGATGCGAAGTTGTGCCGTGATCTGCGATCGGCTCACATACAACTCCGTCACTTCGTTGCAGGTAGAAGAGCGGGGGCTCAAAAGCATCTGATGGTATAAACCTGGTCGCAACCCCAGGCCCTCGCCGCTTGGCCGGAGGCCAGCTCGCTTCTTGCCGATGCCGCGAGGCCGCTGAGCCGTGGCATGAGGTAGTGGGGTGAGCCTAATGCATTTTCCAACAATCTGGGCTGGCCCCTCAACAACAGCGACATGAAGGGAACGCCCAAATGGCCCAAGGAGATGAGGAGGGTGGTAAACAATGGTGAATATTTCTCACAGCACGCATGTCCCCAAGTACGGGCCGCAAGGCAAACATGCCACCACCTCAGAGCAGTTAGGTAAGACCAAGAAGCATACAGGAAGGCGCTCACAGTGCAGTGTGAACAGAAAGCGGAAGCGCAAGCTTGAAGCAAAGGAGTGCGATTCGGAGGTAGGCAGTTGATGTGAGAGGCGAAGCAGTACTATGGTTCTTGAGACAGCACCAACGTAGGACTCGCGTTGCAAAAGGAGTCCATGAGTCCAGCAGCATGTTGCTTGATTTTGCGCGCCTACATGTTGCGAGGCAGCATATCCAAGCAAACGCTGCTTGCCCTGAAGTAGCTCGAGTAGAGTTTTTTTTCTGAAGCACTCAGGGAGCCAGCAAACCTCTAACCTTGTGTGCATGCGTTTGGCATCTGGGATAAGGTCATCACTCTGAACACCTCCATAAGCATCTGTGGGGAAGCTGCTCAGTGGCAGCATGCGCTTCACCTGTTGCATCTTCCTGCTGGTCATGGCTTGGATGCCATTACATTCAACTCCACATTAAGTGCAGTAAGCGCCAACGAAGATGGGCGCTGGCTCCTCTCTAGTCTACTCTTGGCTGCGTTGCACGGCCATCAGCTGAGCAGTGATGTCATGGGGTACACGGCTGCCATTACTTCCTGTGAGCAAGGGAGTCTGTGGCCCCAAGCAGCTGCCCTGTTTGCTGAAATGCTGGACCAGCGCATACAGGCAGACAGCCTGTCAGTTAGCCTGGTTACGACTGCTTGCCAAAAGCAGGATGCTTGGCAGCAAATTCTCAGCCTTTTGCATGATCAGCGCGCGCAGCTTGTGGCAATCAACATCCTCACCTACAACCTTGCCATGGCTGCATGCCTTCAAGAGTGGCAGTACGTACTTGCATTGCTAGAATCCCTCAGGGCTGAGGCCATACATGCCAATGCCATTACGTACAGCCGCTGCCTTGATGCCTGCGAGAAGGGACGGCAACTGGCAAGCTTTCCAGTCTTCTCGCGTGCCTTAGATCTCCAAGGTCTTCATGCCGTCTGCGTGAGTGCATGCAAAAAGGGGCGCTGCACCAGCAAGTTCCGCTTGTGCATGAATGCATGTAGCTGCAGGATATCTTATCATTCCGGGCCTCCTTCGGCCTTGGACTGCAGGTGCCTGCAGCTTGTTTGTGACTTGTTAGTGACAGCTATTGATGTTGGGACCACCGCTACTTTTACCATTCTGCTTCCCTGCAAGGACCCTGCTCTACCCCTACCGCGGCAAGGAGAAGGCACCGGTGACTCCTCCCTCAGCATCTTGACCAGAAGCTGCATAGCCCGCCTGCAAGGAGGAGAATCGAGGAGATTGGGGGTCGGGAGGGTTGGCCCCAGAGAGCAGCTGCTATTGGCCAGGAGTGAATTTAGGCTTCAGGCCAGGCGCCGCTTTCCGGGCATGATGCTTTTTGGGCAGAGATGGTTTATGTACTGCATGGCCATCCAGTTATGACAAAAGGGGAAGTCTCTGAAGGAATGTAGGCCGCTGGAGATGCTCTTGGCACAGGCATGTACTCCTGCTGAAGCTTCCAGACTCAGGGTCCCTTACCCCAGCCACAGGACGGGTTGCCGAGCTCTGCAGGACGCTACTGACACCGAGGGGTCCGAGGCAAGCGTTGACGCGAGCAGCAGCATGCACAACCTGCGCAGAGTCTCCTATGACAAAATGCCTGCCACCATCTTTCTACACTAAATTTCACAAGCATGGTGGCTGTGGTCAGCTTTCGTCTGAGCATGGCATTACTTGCCAGCCTGGACGACGGCGACGCCTGGTCCTCTTTGCTACATCCCTGTTCAACACGCGCACCCGGAGGACTCGCAGATTAGATGGCCGGGTTTGGGGAAAAATTGTGACTGTGCTGCATCACAAGCAATGACTTGGTCCAGAATGCCCTTGCGCTGAGACCTACTGAACGCAGGAAGTACCCTGCCCCTGGTGGTGCAGGCTATGCTGCCATGTTCTTCGCATGTACTTCATCTTGTCGCGGTCGCTTCCATAGGTTTGTAACAGCTCTTGCATAGATTCGATGTTATCAAAACAGCCAAGTCAATGTAACAAGAAAAAACGTAGGTCAGTACTGGATAAGCTCAACTAGTGTTGGATCCGCCCGTGACGGTCACCCCATCTGCAGATTTACAAGACGTTGCCAGGTTGGTGCCCTGGCGATGAGCTGGCACTGTGCCTCTTCACGGATGCCGTCTTGGACTGATGTCATGCATGCTTGCAGGCTGTACTTGGCGCGTGCGCTCACATGTCGACCTTGAAAATTTGGCTTCCGCGAAGGATGGGAAAGTTTCACCGCACGTTCGCTCCACAAAGAGGCACACAAAACCCCAGCTGTCAGAGCTAAAGCTGTGGCGCCCCATGGAAAATTGACAGCGCACTTGTCGGGCGAGAGCCAGTGGAAGGTTCCCAGAGCCTGATGCTGCGGCGCCAGGGGTTGGGCACTCAAGCAACACTGACATCTGCCAGTCCACATGTAGTCTGCAGCACAAGGCCGCGCCCGGCCACATGCACATCAACAAATTTGTGTTTCAGGTCAAGGAACTCTTTGGCTCCTCTGTGGAGTTGGAAGTGCTCCAGCCAGTGGCACAGCGTCGTGCCGAGGCTGGCATAATGCAGGGGATCTTTTGAAGTTGGGTCTTCTCAAGGTGAAAAGTGCGTGTAGGAAGCAGTTTTGCCCCTTGACTGGATTCTGGATGATCACAGGTCTTGATTCTGTTATATGCGCCTTTCTGCAGCTACTCGTTCCTGCCTCAGAGAAGCTTTCGCCGAGCCCGATGGAGATGACGGCATCCAAGTATGCTGCTGCCATAGAACCCTGTCATGTATTACCCTTTAAGCTCGCAATGAATGTCAAATGCTGCGCCTCAGGCAGCACTTCTTCACACTCTGGAAGCAAGTCACGGATTCGCTGCGCGCGATGAAAGGCAAACTGACATGGCAATGTTGCTGTTTGGCTTCCAAGGGCTCTGGGAAGTGGCAGAGATGAAAACAGCTTCCGCTCAGGACCGTCACCCAATGCATCCGCACCAGTGGGGCTCTTAGTCAGGCAACTATGCTAACTATGCGAGGGGAGCTAGGTGCAGAGTTTCCCTGGAGTCATGCCACCTTTCCCAAGCGTACCAGCGCTTGTACGGCCATTGCGAGTGAGGCCATAGGCAGCACTTGCTCTTGGCTCTCCAGACTCCCAATCCAAATCCACAACAACCCAAGCCATCCAGGTTCTTCAACTGGCACAGATGGATGGCATGCAGAACGAGCCGAACTTGCCTGTTAATTGCTTGCCGTGTCCAGCAAATAGGGGGTTGGTAGTCAAAACATCGATTGCGCGCTTGCGCTTCTCGCTTCTTCACGTTGTTGATTGAAATGGATCCTTCTCTGATGTTTGATGTGCAAAGCCCCCTCGAGTGGCAGACCACGTGGCAAGAGCCGGCTTGCACTGCTGTGTACAGCTTCACGGCCCTGATCTAGAGAATCTACAGGCATCCCAAGCTTCCGCCTGTTCGCCAGTCGTTGCCTCAAAAGCCGGAGTAAGCAAATTAGGTTTTTTGGCTTTAGATGTGCCGCTTTCACTTAGCTCGTGCAATTTGGGGCTTCAAGTTGCCGTGTGATATCATCTTGAGCGCCTTCTCCTCGGAAGCTGCATATGGGATAACAGGGAGGCACGCGGTTTACTTGGAAAGGCTCATTATTCAGTCTTTTCCCAACGCGGTTGAGAGTTTTTTCTCTCACCTTGATTCGGTGACCTGCGCGAGGTTTCCAACCTTGCTTCTTTGCCAGCCGAAGGTGGGAGTCGGAATCTACTTGACTGCCGCTTGTGGTACTTGCATGTAGAAACAATCAGTGGATCGAACGCCGCTGCAAATCCGTTCTGTATTCAGCTTGCTTGGGCTTTTCTGCCGATGGACGCGGCTTTTTTTGTGCAGATTTCAAGGCCTTAGGTTGTCCAAGTTCTGCAGCAGCACAACAGCTGTCGCAGCAGTGGCCATCAGGTCATTTTGATGGAAGTGGGTGAATGCACGAAGTCAAGAGAGTCAGAGTCCACAGATCGAAGCCCTGGCAGGAGGCGAGCGGTGCAGATTCACTCGGCACGGCTCCTGGCTTCGAGCCCTCATGTGCCCTGACGCAAGAGCTTCTTGCCGAGCACTTTTCAAGGTTATGATGTTCGCTTCCAGAAGTACCAGGGCCCAGGAACGCTTGCAGTCCCTGCCTCACCTTGCTTTGTTGTGCCGCCAAAGATTCCGCTACAGTAGCCCACGCCTTGCACTGCCTGAGGCCATCCTGTCTTGGCTTTCAGAGAACTCTGCAGCGGCCCTACTTGGGCGATCTTGGGAGTTCCAGACTGCCCCGATGATTTACTGAGCACCAAGGCTGTAGCCCCCCCCGTGGCTGGAGTTACTCGGACTCGAAACTTAAGTCAGACTGGAGATGTTTGTTAGCTCATGGTGTGCCTCTTGCGGTTGCAAGAGATTAGAGTCCAGAGGCAAAGAGCGGCAGAGCGTCTGCAGTCCTGAGGTTGCGGGTCTAAGCTGAGACCGCGAAGAAGCCTTGGCACTCGACAGCCTGGAGTTGTTTCGTAGTTCACACTCGGAATTGCACTCGGTGATGGGCTCCCCATGTTGCTTGACATTCCAGATTCTAGATGTGCCCGTAGTACGGTACAACTCGCAAAGATGTCGGCTCTTGCGCGGAATTGCTTCATGGAGCCTAGAATCTCAACATGAGTTGCTCGCCCTGCTGTCCAGAGCGGATCTTGCTTGCAACTGACCTGCAAGCTCCGCGACGGCGGAGCCTGCGAGCCTGCCTGGCATCAGGAAGGCAAGCAGTTAGCGCTGCGATGCTTTGTCTTCGGTTCGAGTTTTCCGCCTCGGAAGGCCACTGAAAACTCAGGAATTTGAACATTGTTTGGTTGTTTGTTTTCTGAGGGCCTTTCGCTGGTGACCGCTCCTACTGCTCCAGACAAAAATCAGTTGTCTCGACCTGCTTGCTATTGACACTCCTTGACGGGTTCGGTTCCGGTTCTGCAAGAGGCAGGGCATTTCAAGTGTATGAACACCGGGGCTCGTTTACTTGAGGGAACGTTGCAGCAATTCGGGTCTCTGCAGGTGTCAATGATGGGCCCGCGACGTGCTGACGGCTTGACTCTCGCACCGACCTACCAGGAAGCAGAAGTCTCTAAGGTTTAAGACCTTTGGGATCCTTTGGGGTTCAGGGCTGAACAGATGCTCTGGAGTCATCTTGCCGAATTGGTGCAGGACCACCTGGTGGAGAGTCTGAGCAACTCGGATCTTGTCCCCATCATGGTGCCTTCCCCGATGCAACTGACTGTTCGAGGAACTGCCCAGCAGCTTTGTTTGCCCCTTCTGCTTGGATGCACGTTTTGTTGTAGTTTAGAGATGTCTTGCTTGGGTAGGGCACTTGTTGTGCTGGACAGAGGGTGCTGGACCGCCGACTGGCTCAAAGGATTCAGCCAGGTTTCTGCGCCAAATACCAATGCTAAGAGCAGGCAGCGTGACGACGTGAAGACATGAAGAGTCAATGAAGAGGTGATAGCATGGGGTTGAGTTGTTGATGTGGAGTTCTTCCGAGCCTTGTCAGATTGCAAGCTCCCTAGTACCTCAAAAGCAAGCCATGGCTTTTGATGACGCAGACTCACCTTCAGGCATTCGGATCACTTGACCCCCTGCTTCCGTTTTGTTTTGGAAGCGAGGTCGCGATCGACGGCTTATGCTGCAGCGGAAAATGCAGAGGCGATGCCTTCAAGTCGAAGTGGCTGCGTCGCTCCTCTGCTTGAAGAATGCTTATGCCTCATTGCATGCTTTGAGGGCGATGACCCAGCTCACGCCACAAGTCAAGGGCCCGCCGTGCAGAACTTACCATCGACATGCAGTCAGGCAGTCAGGGAAGCTCCACGCTTCATATGACCATCTCAGGCGCCACTATGGCGGGGACTTCGCCTTCGTTGGCGCAGCATACGTGCTAAGAGTCCACAAAGGATTGGGCGCTCAAGACTCAAGGTAGAATCATTTTAGTTAGATTTGGGTCGCCGCTAAGTGTGGAAGGGCTTAATGTCTTTTGTGTGCAGGAAGCACGACACCTCCACAGCTTCTCAAGCCGCCATCGGCGCATCCTTTCTGCATGTCAGGAGCAGGTCCATTGCAGTGGCTGCTGGAGCCCTACAACATGCCAGCGTTCTGCTTCATAGGTAGTGCAGCCAGCTTTTGCTCGAACAATGATCTTCACCCATAAGCCCAGCATGGACCAGGAACAGCCTTACGCAGAGGCACGGGGCGAGTGCCATATCCCAGAGCCAGTATTGCCGTTATGAGTGACACTGGATGTTGGAAGCCATTCCTGGATGCCTTGCAAGTTTGCGTCACACCACTGCAGAGCACCTTTTGTGGGCGGTGGCTCTTCAGGTTGTTTGTTGTTTGATGGGCTTCTAGATTCATTGCATGTGCCCAACATGTTGGGATAGTAATTGTTGGTTGCGGGCCTATTTGGAGAAGTTGTTTTCCAAGCACCACTGAATTTTGCGTCCTCATGTTTGACAAGCACTAGCTCCCAGTACATGTATGCAACTGCGAGACGCCAACGCACGGTATCCCAGTCATCTTCACCGACCTCAATGCAAGCTGGTTTCCTTCGCTTTTCCCAGCCCGCTGACTGGGATGACTTCTCCTGCTGGCCATGGCACCGAGCACGGCACAAGCCATCCAGCCGCAGCTGCTGAAGCAGGCTTGGAAAGCTTTGCAAACTAATCTCCGACAAACTCAATGCCAGAGCTGTTCTGATTTCAGACACGCCTCAACGGCTTTCTGACGCTGCCGGTGGAGCCGCTGGAGCCAGAAGAGGCGGAGCTGCGTGCAGGGATTGAGCAACACAGCAAATCTCAACCTGCACAGCTTCGTTATATTCTGAAAGACTAGATTGGTCCGATTGAGAGGTGATCTGTCACCGAACAAACCTCCTTCAATTTATGCTACTTGATTCGCAATGTGTCTCGTTCAAACGCCGTGCTCACAGGCTCTGTCGAGCCATTACTTGGAGCTCCACTTTGGCCGCCCCTCGCAGTTCTCCTGGGGTCGACGGCAGGACACCAGGGAATGCGTCTTAGGGTAGCGCATGGCAGAAGATTTGTTGTGGATCCGTTCTTTCGCCATCACAGGAAAGCTCAGCAGGCACAGATGATGAGTACGAGTACGAGCGTGTGCTACCCTGGGCTACGGCAGCAGTTCAGCCTCGCCTGCTACCCAGGGTTAGTTGATCAGACTGCCTGACCTTCTGCAGCGCAGCTTAGTGCTCAGCTTAGAACCGACAAGCCCCTAGGTGTGACGCCTGAGCGGATCTACCCACCACAAAGCCGTGAGGTTCAGCTCCTGTGAGCCATCTTTCTGGAGCTCTTTTGAGAAGCCGCTCCTGCAGAGACTCAGGCATCGCGACGACGTGATGATTTGGCTGGCCTGATGCGGCCCAGGAGGCGCAAGCGGAACAGGAGCCGGGGAGTGAGAGCCTGTGAGAAAGGGGGTATGTGTTTGATTTAGGTTGTGTTTGTGTACTGCCGATAAGTAGCAGTGGGAGTGTGGTTAAGATTCGCAGCCTGGCTGGGCATTTGCTATCAGAAAGTCTGCCTGGTTGCTTGAAAGCCTTTGCTGTGCAGATTCGTGAAGATGGTTCAATTTTTGCTTGCTCGGGGTAGACTTTTGCACATGAGGGTGGAAAGTTAGTTTTGCCCACCACCCTGAAGGAGCGATGATGTTTTTCTGGTACGTCGGATACTGGAGGAAGAGGAACAAGGCCATGTCTTGGAGGGCTTTGACAGCATTGAGATCGGATTGTGCCTGGCGCTTCCCCCTTCCTGATGCTACCAGGTGATGGCTTCGAATCCTCCACGGACGAAGAAGAGGAGCTGCAACAGTCACTGTCGATTGCATGAGATTGCAAGCACGTAGTCGCAGAGGAGCCACCGCGAGGCACAGCATCGTCTGCACGGAAGGCGGAACCTCTTCCCGTTTCCATCGCCGAGAAAGCAACATTTGGGGGTTTCACGATAGGGCGACAAATTTGTTGTTCATGATGATGCTGATGGTGGTGTGACCGATGTCTGTGTAGGGACGGAGCAACAATCTCATGTTCAGGCCAGTACCGCTGAAGGTGCCATGGTGCCGGCCAAGCAGCAGGATTCCGAGCATCATGTTCATCCAGCGTGCTCCGTACATCACTTCAAAATGGCTCCATTTTCATAAGAAGACCTGGAAAGGTGCCTTATGATTGTGGTATGGTGTGACCGTTGCTGCATTCTTCATCAGAGTTGGGCGCAAGATGGAAGCATGAGCAAGAATAGTTGCGCAGAAGGCGACATTCGTGGTGCTTGCTGCAGGACCTGAAGACTGCCATGCTCATGGACGTCGCCATGCTCTGAGAATGATGTCCGTGTCCATGCTGTCTTCTTGTGAAGCCCTACGACGCAGCACTGTACGCGTTCTGCAGGCCGAGAAAGTTGCTTATGGTGTCATCGTGGGTTCCTTGGTGAACATCAATGTGCAGGACAAACATCTGCATGTGTTTGCAAGGGGCATCAGCTTGCTGCATGTCTTCCAAGTTGCTGTGGCTGAGACGCAAACTGTTTGTAGCTGTGGGTGCTTCGAATCCCTTTAAAGTGGTTTCGTGGACCACGAGCAGCTCAAGGAGGAGGAGTCCTTTGGAGACGCAAAGAACTCAGAAGGAGGTCGATACCTCCAGAAGCTGCGCTCCTATGACATCCCAGAGATCACGCTGAACACGAACGGTTGAAGAAGAAGGAGGNNNNCCTCCTTCTTCTTCAACCGTTCGTGCTGCTCTTTCTTCTCCAAGAGCATGAGTGTAGCATGCTTATTGAACGTGTCAGCGTTCGTATGGCACGTCACTGCATACTTCAGCACTGGGATCCAGTGTCAACACGGCTTTGTGTTGCAGACTTGCCAGTTACTCGAAATCGTACAATGCGATGGGCATTACCGTGGTCGGCTGCGAGCACGCAGTGTTCTTCCAGTCGAAGCAACGTGGCTACCATGTTGAGACAAGAATCCACAAGCTGCTGCACGCGCTGGCCACACCTAGTCTACGAATACCCAGAGAATGGGTGAAAGCTGCACCCTTGCAGGCATACACCCAGACATTCCAGTAGCATGTGCAGAAGACATTTCACCATAGATCACACCGCAGCCGCGGGGTTTCGGTCAAGCAAAAAGGCAGGCGATCAGCTGCAGCACTACTGTGGTCACGAGAGTGATCACAGTGGTAGCGGAGCTCGGTGAATAGAGACTGGGCTTTGTGGTTTCCGATGGGAGAGCGAGCGAGACGCTGATGGCTTCGTCTTCTGCTGCCGATGACTCCGGGTCGAGTGGAAGGATCGAGCGCTTCGATGGCAATGATCCATCCCAATACCGGAGATGGAAGCGGCGGGCCCGCTTGATGCTGGCATCCCTTCCCAACACCGTTCCGAAGGAGAAGTACGGTCCCAGGCTTATGGAGTTCATAAAGGGAGAAGCTGAGATCTTGCTAGAGACTCTGGATATCGATAAGATATGCAAGGAGGGCGGCGATGATGCTATCTTTAAGGTTCTGGATGAGAAGTACGGACCGCAGCCGGTCGATCTTCTGAACACTGCCTTCAAGACCTTCTTCTATGAGCTCCACATCCACTCTGGGGAGACCTACATGCAATTCCATGCGAGGTTCACCTCAGCCATTCGGCTGCTGGAGGAACAGGAAGTCAAGTTTCCTGAGGTGGTCAAGGGCTACCTTCTGCTGAAGAAGCTGAAGCTGGACTCCAACCAAGAGGCCATGGTGCTGACAGCGGCAGAAGGGAAGCTTGATCAAGTCTGGAGATCTGTGCAGAGGATCTTTGCTGAAGGCAAGGCGGGGAACGTTCCGAAAGGACGAGATGTTCTTCAAGCTGAGCCCGATGATGGCATGGACAGCGCTGGCTATCAGGAGGATGAGGTCCAGATGGTCATGGAAAGCGTGGCCGACGAAGCACAGGATCATGACTTGAGCGATGAGGGTGCCTTGGAAGCCTTCGAGTCGTATGCTGAGGTGCGCAAGCGCCTTCAAGAGGAGCGTATTGCCAGAGGTTTTTCCGGGACCAAGGGCAAGGGGAAGGGCAAAGGCGAAGAACAGCAATGGCATCTGACCGGCAACATCAGTGCCAAGCTGGCGGCCATAAAAGGTCGCACGCGCTGCCATGTATGTCAGCGACTCGGCCGTTGGAAGAAGGAGTGCCCCCTGAGGAAGAACGCTGCGGCCGAGCCGGACCGCAAGAAGGAAGTCAATGTGATTGAGAACTCCGACGTTCTCCTGGTGGAGGCCTTTCCCGAGACCGCAGTGGTGCAGATCGATGAGCAGAGCCACGGAAACCCCTGAATGCTGACATGATTTTCCCGCATGAGTTGTTTAATGTAGATGCTCCTCAAGAGGCAGATGTCTGCGGAGTTCCCGACACCGCTTGTCGCAAGACCCTTGTGGGCGAGTACGCGTTGCGCTGCATTGAGGGTAAGCTTAGGCAGCAGGGTCTTGCTGTTGTTTACTCCGAGGGTAGTCATGTGTTCAGGTTCGGCAACTCTGAGACACTGTCAACGCAGAGCGTAGCCACCATTCCTGCCATGTTAGGGCATCACAAGCTTCTGATTAGGGCTGCAGTCCTGCCTGGCAAGGGTAGACATACCCCGCTGCTGTTAAGCAAGGAGCTTCTGCGCAAACTTGGGGCCGTTATGGATATGGGTAATGATGTTGTGACTTTTCCTCATCTTGGGGTTAGGTGTACGATGGGAAACCCACAAAGGGCATTATGCCATACCGCTCTTTGATGGCTCCGAGTCGGAAACACACGTGAATCCAGCTGATCCTCCCAGTCCCGGACTTGGCAATGAGCTTCGTCAACGAGGAGATCAGGGCGCTCATGGAGGGCTCGGCGATCGAGCAGCAGAGGGACAAGGGGAAGATCACCTTGAAAGAGCTCGACGAAAGTCCGGACGGCGGGCACGACGACATGGACTCCCCCATCCCGGCAGAGACCAGGATGCTGGAGGGCAAGTACAAGAAGCAGCAACGTCCTTCTCGGAGATCTACATGAACGACAAAGACTATGTGAGCTGGGTCCGCAACCACATCGGACCCCGATCCAGCCGGATGATGAGAGAGTTCAAGATTTACATCGCCCACCGCGACCAAGGCAAGAGCGACCGTATCAAGGGACAACGTTTGCAGCAGATGATGCAGCGAGCAGCTGGAGCCCGCCTGAAG